TCAAATATAGATATACATATTTACATTATAAACATTTAGCGTTATACATTTATAGTTATGGCTCCTTTTGTAATGTGCTTCTTTGTTGTTTGTTATGATTATACCACCAAAGAATTGCAAGCCTGTCTAAAGTCTTCCCCACCTTGATGCTGTACAAACTTTGGGAGGATGGAAAAGTGGGTTCCTTGGATGACCCCCTGGGGAAGTATGTTAAGAACTTCACCATAAAAAACCCTCTAGGGAAAATAAGGGATCATGACCTCAAGTCCACCACTGATGGCATGAGCAGAGAGGCTCAAGTCCACATCTCCTCAGTTACCCTGAGAAGGATGGCCAGTCAGCTGTCAGGTGAGGACTATAATATCTGTAACTGACCTCAAGGGGGTGTTTAGATCAGTAATAGATGATGATTAGCATCTATACAATTAGTGCTGTAAAAATAAAGAAGGTGAAACCTGTAATTAGATCAACTGTTTTTAGACTAAGAATTTCCACGGCTACCCTAATCAGCCTTATCAGTTGCCTAACATGACCTCTGCCATTACCTCTAGTGTATAAATTAGACCTGAAGGAATGGCCTAACATACTGTACTCAGCTTACCCCAAGCTGATGTTTAGATAATGTGCCAGAAATAGTGGTGCTGATTATACTGGTACACTTAATTGCAAAAATAGCAAAAATAGCGATTTTAAGTTCAAGAAAGGAAATTTACAATGGAATAGTTTCCTTCAATTACAAACCAGTTTGTGATGAAAACCCATCTGCCTTGGAGTAAAAAAAAAAGAAGAAATAAAAGATAATCATACTTTTATATCTTTATTTCCCAATTGTGATTTTATATTTCACACACACACACACACACACACACACACACACACACACACACACACATATATATATATATATATATATATATATATACACTACTTTTTATTTGTTTGTATTATTCAATGCTGGGCATATCTTTTGCTGTTCATTTAGAAGTTAATTTTTAAAAACATTAAGATTTTAATGACACTGTTAAAAAAACTTTAGCAAATATATAATTTTTTTAAATAATGCACATTATTGTATTGGTGTAGCATTCAAAACGACTGATTTATAGTTTTATAGTTTACATTTTTTATTTAAATGAGTCAGAATAGTATGTATTTTTAATATCTGCCATAGCCATAACATGAAAATTAATATTGCTGCATCCCCAATAATTGTACTTTTAAATTGCAAACTTCAGAATATTAAAATATCTTTGATGATGAATTTTTGATAAGGCTGATAAGGTAACACCATATAAAATAAATGGGGAATTTTTTTTTTAAATGGTATATTTTGGATTCATCATTGATTATAGGTTTACCCAGGCGGCTCAGGGCAACTACTTTGCTGTGGAAAGGCAACACCCAGGCTGCTGTGGATTTATTACAAGATGATGTTCTCGTGGCTGACCCTGGAACAAAGTAAGCTAGTACAAAGATAGTATATTTCCCTCTTCAAACTTGTATTGAGAGGATGTTTAATGAATGAGAGGAGGTGTAAATAATTAATGACAGCAGATGCAATGAATGCACTTGTGGATTCTCCCTAGAGGAAGTAATTCTAGTCCTCTGCTGTCCTCAGATGCCACTACAGCAACCTGGCCTTCTCCCTGCTGGCCCACGTGATGGCGGAGAAGGTAGCGGGGATGGATTATCAGCAATGGGTGTCTGAAAATATCCTGAAGCCGCTGGGAATGGAGGACACTGGATTTGAAATCACCTCTCAAATAGAGAAACGAATGGCGATAGGTGTTTACTCAAGTGGGCATCCCGCACCCCTCTATGACCTTGGCTGGTATAAACCATCAGGGCAAATGTACTCCACACCTGCAGACATGGCCAAACTGGTGATGATGCTCCTGGGCGCATACTACCACCCATTTCTCCAACCTGACACCCTCAAAACCATGTTAACTCCTCTGTTTCACTGTGAAAATAGCTACTTTGCTGAACAAACTGGCACACCGTGGGAGGTGAATGAACAGTTGGGCTATGACATAATCCGCAAAGATGGAGTTCTGGATGGTTATTCGGCCTCAGTCTCCCTCGTTCCTCGCTTGAAGCTGGGGTTGGTCACCCTAATGGCTGGAACCAAACCTGAAGATGAGGATCTGGTGGCTAAAGTCTACAGTTCACTCATCCCTGCCATGGAAAGTGCCTTCAGAGATGCACCTCACGTTCTCATTCCTACTCCGGACCCTGTTCCCTACATAGGTTACTTTACTTATAGCAACATAACGTTCTATGAGATCAATGCAGACACAGATGGAATGCTGTCTGTGGAGCAGTTTGGACCTCAAGTAGACACAATGGTTCCCATGAAGTACAGAATCTTGAAACTCAGTTATCTGCAGGATAGGGTGTTCAGGGTGGTGTTTGAGAAGGAGTACCCATGTCAGCTCAAAGTTAACGCTGCTTCGGTGTCTCTTGAATCTCAGGATGGGCAGCTTTTTAACTTTTACATCTTTAACAAAAAGGGGCTCTCACCAGGTTTTGATGTCCCAGGGTTAAACACTTATAAAGTCACACGGATACCTCGCAAACCGATTTTCAGTGGTTGAAGAAATCATTTGATCATGCTTTTGAGTTAATAAGCTAAAAGGTACTCTTTAGGACGAAAGTGTCAAATTCTGAGGAACTTCAACCTATGATTGTGTACATTTTAATACATTTTTGTCTCAAGATGCTGAATGTATATTTAGAACACTTTTTCTTATTTTTATTTTGACCATTTTGAAAATGCTGCTGTTGTTTTCCCTTTCTTCAGAGGAATATCTATACACAGTTGACAACCGTCCATTCATTTATGTGTGTTTCTAAGAAGCGTGAACTGCGTGTCTTAATTAAAGGTAGTGTGTGCCTTCCCTAAGCATTTGCACCTGTGCATCAGTTTCCAAAGTACCCAATTTTGTGTAACCTTGATCAGCACATTGCTGAGTTCAGCTAGAGGTAGTTAAAAGCATATTTCAGCTCTAATACTAATGTCTTTTTTTCTAAACATTTTATTTGTCTTTAAATGCAAACCAGTGTAAAGGCCCATTCACATCAAGGATGATAACTATAATGATAACTATATGGTTTTAAGCAATTTAATTGTATGAGAAAAGGGAAATCCATAATACAAATAAAATGATATTGACACAGAAACAATATCATTGGAATCACTTTCAGAACTATTTTTCCCAGCTGATGAACACTAAAAACCTTCACAACCATGCTCTATAGCATTTAAAGATATTTCAGATAACAAAACTGCAGTGTGTGATTAATACAATGTTATGGTGAGTTGATGTGGATGCTAATACAGTTACTGTTATATTTTTCTTTATAGTTATCATTCTTGGTGTGAACAGGCCTCATTTTAGCATCTTGATTTTTATCGATAATGTAAATGTTGTTTTTCTAAATCAATATATTTTACACAGTATTGTATAGCCTATGTACTAACCTAAACAAATAAAATACATATACTTAAATATCTATAGTATATATATATTCTCCAAAATTTGAGATGTTAACATAATAATAACCAAACTTTTTTAAACTGTGCATTTTAAACATTTCATAATGTTTCTTAACTTCATGGGAAAATTAGCAAAACATATTAGAATCTAGAATAATTGTTCCAATGTACAATGTAGAAAAACAAGATATATGTAAGAAATGAATTGTGACTTACCAATTAAAAATAAATGTATTTGTGCACACAAAGTCCATCAAAGGCCTGAACATTTGAGCTAACATATGGTCTTGCTGAGATAAACACTAGCTGTAATCCGCTGTCATTGCCCTGTTGGTTTTTGGAAATCAAGTCTTGAGGATACTGACAACTGGGAAAATCAAGCTGTACATAACTGTTGACCTACAAATCTTCACAAATCAATATGTTAGAGGACAGTTCACAACCATAAACTGAGCAACCGAAAAATAAGTGACCTGGAATATTGTACTGTACCTTTCTGTTATCCAGCACAATAAAAGTCTATAACACAGTTAATCATAATTAATTGGAAGATGTCACAATTTATGACATCTTCCAAATCAGGGAGAAAAGAAAAAAACACAAACACTTTAGACTAAGAAAAAAAAATGTTACCAGTCATCCTCTTCATGCTTAAGGCGTTCATCCTTTAGGATATTCAAGTGAATGTTTTACATCTTGATTCTGGAATCCTCCAGCAATCGCATGTACCATGTAAGATTTGACAAAAGTAAAGAATGGCTTTAACATTAATACATTTATACTAATAAATAGGCTACCAATTGATTGAGATTGAGCTCACTTTCTCTATGGAGTCAATCAGGCTATTCCTTTTATGGATAAAAATGTGTTGAAAGTATGTGCCTGGTTACAAGAGAGCATTATTAATTTATAAATTATTACTACATTATGAAAAGTATACTCTATATATAGAGACTAGGCTATATGTCAGTCGCTGAACTGCGTGTCCAGCTGTGGACGCAAGATGTCACTGTAACACCACAAATAGGGCCGAACCATAAACACGAAAAGGTTTGCATATTTTATATGTACACATACAGCGATGCCATTTAAACCGCACTTGCCTGGTTACAAGAGAGCATTATTAATTTATAAATTATTACTACATTATGAAAAGTAGGCTATATGTCAGTCGCTGAACTGCGTGTCCAGCTGTGGACGCAAGATGTCACTGTAACACCACAAATAGGGCCGAACCATAAACACGAAAAGGTTTGCATATTTTATATGTACACATACAGCGATGCCATTTAAACCGCACTTTTTTTATTTTTTTTATCTAAAGCCATTCTTTTTGGCTGTTACAGCGTTTATTATTATATCCTTGGCTGACATCCAATTAGGTTATGATTTCCGGATAGGGCATTCCGTACTTTCGTATACACTCGTTGCAAATTCCACTCTCCGAAGTGTCACGAAAACACCCGAAGTAAAACGAAAGCTCGGTCCTGTAGGACTGCTGGAGGCGGCCACTGCGCCATGTTGAACGGAATCATCACACTCCGTGGAGATACTCTCGTCAAAGAGCAGTTGTAAACAAAGTGTTATTCATTTTCCAAAAGGGGGCTCGCCTGTCAAGATCGCCCTGGCTAAAAGAGGCCAACTAGATCCTCGGAAACCCCGGCCGGGGAGGGGGAACAGCCCCCCAACCTTCAGCAATGAAGATAAACCACAATAAGCGCTAGCTGGCTAACTTTAGCCTGCTATTCTATCAATAATCTAGCTAGCCTGTTAGCTCAAGCTTTTCTATTCGCTCAGACACCGGCAACCTGCTCCTAAAAGGCCCGGTGTTGACGTAACTCGCCAGCAATATTTTTTCTTACGTGGACAGTTTAGCCGCTAGCTAATTTATTATTGTAAATATCTGTAAAGCCGTGCGTTTGTTTTTGTTTTATTTGCGATGAGTTTGCCGCCGAAAGCGGTGCCGAAACCAGCCGCCGCTGGAACTGGACCTGGAACCGGACCGTCACTCTCGAGTCAGCTGCGGGCCACCCTGACCCCAGTGCCGCTACCACAGGGGACGCCGGTACCTCAACAGCCGCAGACACAGTATCCTTCTCTGAAAGCATTTTGCTCCATCACAAATCTGTATCTGTGGTTGTTTCAAAACATAGCGAGCCGCCTACCTGGATAGCTTTTTTTTAAACATCATAGGCATTCGATTAAATCTATATATGATACCCAAAACTGCTGTCTAGGCAGGCGGGCCACTAGGTTTTGACAGCGCTAGAGTGTGTTGCACTGTGTACCGGCTAATACCGGCTTTGATTTGGTTTGGTTGTGGCTTAAGTCAGGTTTTGTTTCTTGAACATGGAGGTGGTTGTACCTTAGTGTAGTAACAGTGTTTAAAGTTATGTGGCTTTCAAAAGCCGAGCTGTCAACCCGCAGCCGGTTTGGGCTGATCCGGCCGTGTGCTAAAGCTAGCTCTCCTTTTCTGTTTCGCTTGAAATAAATATTTATGTATTTGTGTCATGATTTACTCACTCTTTATGCTGGTATAAACCAGTGACTGAATTTCTACTGAGAAACACGTTAGAAATGCTAGTCAGAATGACAGCCTCTGTCACCATTTACTGCATCTGTTTCAATACACTGACAGTGAATGGTGACTGAGTCTGTCATTCTGACTAAAAATCTCATTAGAGTTAGTAAATTGTGACAGAGTTGTATTTATTTATTTACTTTGGATTAACTATCCCTTTAAGCCATTGCACCACAGGTGAATAGGGTAAATTAGATATCACCATACTTAACTTATTGATTAATTACAGTGTATTGTCAAGGCTCAGTACATGTTTTGCTTTACAAGTTTTCTGAAATGTTGTGTTATTATGCAGATGAGGCATTTCATTAAAGCCAGGATTAATGCCAGGATGTTTGGGGTATCTCTTATCACTCAGAAAATAAATCCTATCAATACTGCCAAAAGTCAGAAAAAAAATCAATGTTTCCCGTTTTTAATGTTATATAAATCAGGTGATTGATATATGAACTCCATAAAAACCTTCAGATTATAGATAAGAATAAAACTAAAGTCCAGTGTAAATAATTGCTACTGAGTGGAGATTTCTGGTTCAGTGCAAGATTTTAAATATTTTGTATTTTAATCCATAATGTTATGCGTATAGTGCAATTTGGAGAAAATGTATAGTGTTTACTTAAATGTTTATTTTGTTTTTCCTTTGGTCTGAATGAAGACATTTTATGTAAGCAAAATGTCCCAAAATCTTAAACTTGACAAGTGCATAAAATAACAACGACTTAAAAGGATTTTCACCCCCCAAAAAATCTAATTCTGTCATAATTTACTCTGAAGTTGTTCAAATACTATGGAAGTCAATGGCTGCCATCAACTGTTTGGTTACCAACATTCCTCAAAACATATTCTTTTGTGTTCAGCAGAAGAAAGACACTCTTACAGGTTTGGAAAAATTTGACAGAATTTTCATTTTTTGGATGAACTATTCCTTTAAGATTGTTTCACATCTTGGTAAGCTATATGCTGCCCACATCCTATACTGCTTATATCTCTTCCTTACAGTTAGTTAGGGTGGACTAAACACTGTTCGGGTTATATGTTTTCCCACAGAGATAAACTGCCATACTTTTGCTTGCCCTCAATGTCTTGTTGATATTTCTTTATGGCTCTAAAGCTTAACGCCCTTCTGTTGTAACTGTCTGTGTCCCTCTGTCAGCATCTTGGTTACTGGTCAAACAAGCTGCTGTTTGACTGTGTGGGTTTACAGGGCAGTTTTTGTATATCTGACTTCTACTGTAACTTCCACTTGTCATCATAAGCAAGTAAATATCTTGACATGTTGGTTTGGCATTTGCAATGAGTCACTTAAATCTGTCTAATTGTTTTGGGGAGTTAAAATAACAGGGCTAAAGACTAAATTAGACTGTGTACATGGGAAAATAGTGCTAACAATGCATAATAATACAGTCAGAGACAATGATGGCTTTTAAATAATTGTTGGAGATTCCCCAAACGCATTTACAGTTAATGGTTTTTGTTTCCTTTTTTTACAATGTAAAAAATGTATCCCCAATGGACGGTTTCATGTACTTGTTTATTGACGGGAAATCTACTTGCAAACATTTCCTAGCTGATAATAATCTGCTATAAGAGATCAACCTTATAGCAACATGTCGGTTTATATTTGGATTTATTGTTCTTCATATAACACTCTGATTTAAGCAGGTGTATTTATACCATGATTCACTTCATAGCACAAGAAACTTTTAGAGTGTTTAAAGCAATTGAGGATAATTTTGAAACCGAGAAAACAAGACACTGTGACTGCTGTGTCATAGCAAATGTATATCTTAGTAAATGAGACTCTAGAACTAAAAATAAATCTGCAACCTACAAACCAGTTGAAACTGTGGCTATGAAAGGGTGACGTGGTTTTGGAGCTTGAGCTTATTGTGAAAGTTTCATGGCAGGGCGCCAAGGGAAAGTTAAAATGAGTAACTAACAGCTGTTGTTTTACCCTGGTTACAGTAAACTGTACATTATCTCTGTTTGAACTCTCACTGTGTGTATGTGCCTGTGGTGCAGTGGAGGAGGAAGGGTTTCCTCGCCCTCTTAACAATAGCCTGGTTATACAGACAGAACTGAGCGGCTCTGCTGCTGGGCTGGAGATGGAAGACACATCTCCATCCTCTGTACTCCAGCGGCATGTTAATACACAATCAGCTTCTTGTGTATGACAACCTTATTGCAACGGATGATGATTTTCACTTGTACGAGAACCTGTTTTCTTTAAGGAATCGCACAGTATGGCTCCATCATTCAAAAGACACTGTTTGTTCAGTGATGTGAAGTGTGGTTGATACATGTAGGAGTTTTGAGGACAGTTGTTTTGTAAAGTTTGCATCTTTTTTTCTGGTGTTTCTGGCTGATGGGAGCCAGCATATCTTGACAACAATGTGAATTCCAGTTTGTGCCACTCAGCCCCTGTCTGTGACGGACCTCATGCTAGCTTATATAGGAACAGAAAAATAACACTGCAACATGAGTAATACAAGGTTCTTTCAGAATGTTCACTTCTTTTTAAAGACACATGGAAAGGAGAGAAGGGCTTGACAGGGCAAGTGTGATGGATAGATTGGGCCCAGAACTGCATTGTCATTATGTTTGCTGAGTGTATAGGTGTTTTTTAAGCCTGGCAAACCTAAATATTTGTATTTCTGTGATGTACCGAGTATTGTTGTTTAACAGAGTACATATTTTGTTAGTTCATGCTTTCTTTAGATATCAAACCTAAAACAAGTTTTAACATGACCTTGGTGTTGCTAGTACCATGATCCACTGTTTGAGCAACAGGAATGTGTACATTTTACAAAAGTTGTTTAAACCATAAACATATAAAATCGTAGTAAAAATGACATTGCTTGCTTATAAAAATGATATATTTAGCATATTGAAGCATATTTTAATTAGTACAGAGTGTCCGCGGGTCCTTAAAAAGTCTTAAATAACGTTTTCCTAATATAAGGCCTTAAAAAGTCTTAAATTCGGATTCGATGGGTCTTAAATATTTTTGGTCTCATTACCGCTGAAATATCTTCAGTCTGACGGACCTAATGACTTTACAATCACTGGACAGACCGAAGATGTTTTCTTCCCCGCGGTAAGTTACTGCGTCACCAGAGAGAACTGCAGTAAGTTAGCAGAATACAGAACACAAGCTCGCGCTGAGGCTCACTCTGTTTGTCTCGAAGACTTCAGAACAAATGAGCGTGACCGCACACATGAACTCAGAAGAAACGCACTGAGGTAAAAATTCAAAATGTTTAGTTTATTCATAACATGATATAGTTAAATAACACCATGACAAGTGAGCTATTTTACTCAATATTCTCACGACGCAAAAAACAAAGCGTCTCTGAGCAACATGACGGTGTTTCGTTCCTGAATGAATCAACTGTTTAAATTCAGTCGCAATGACTCACTTATTAACAGTGACTCGCTGCCACCTACTGGCGGGTTTAAATTCACGTTTAAAGTATCTTTTCATTTTTAAAAAATTATTTCAAATATCAGTATTCAATGTTTTATGTTTAATATATCAAAACATTATTTATGCATTTGTAACTGCAGTTTAAATGCATTCATGTCCTGCATTAAACAGTGTGTAAACGCATCTAAATGCCACTTCAGGTGCAGCTTATGTCTGGATTGCAAAGATGAATTTTGTTGATACTGATTTCATTTGCTTGGTAACAGCCCAAATGTCTTATTCTTATTCACTGATTAAATGTAAGAATTTGACTCAAAAGATAATGCACACTTATAGAAAAATGGCTTTATAAAGGTAAATTGCCCATGAAAGGTAAAAATCTATTTAAACTTATCTAACCACCACACAGAAAATGAAGAATATCAAAATCTTTAGGAGTCAGCTGTCCACGAAAGTCCTTAAGATGCCAGCGTGATAACACACTCAATCAGTTGAATGAATGACTCAATACTCACTCATTAAGTGACTTACCGTCACTTACTGGTAGTGTAGTTGAGAAGTTTGTTGAAAAGTATGCATTTTCCACCAAAAATCTCAGTGATGATGTTATTTTGTGGGGATATTTTGTATGGAATATTGTCTGCTGACATTAAAAGCTCACTGTATATCGTAGTAATAAATACCATTTATTACAGCATTGATATTATGTTTTCTTTTTAATTTATACACATTAAATATTACATATATGTATGTAATAAAATGTGTATTGCCATTACAGGTTTAGGTCTTAAATTTCATATAAGGTGGTATTAATAAGGTCTTAAAAAGTCTTAAATTTAACTTGTTCAAGTCTGCAGAAACCCTGTTAGTAAATCATCAATTTCTTCGAACTTGATGAACCTGTGATCAGGGCTGGACTGGCACAAAGAATCGGCCCTGGCATTTTTTGGTCCAGGCGGCCCACCACTATATATTAGGGTTGGGCCGATAGACGATGCCGATAGACGATGTAACAGGCAACCGTTACACCGTTTCTACACCGGACACGACAATTGTCGTGTTGTGCCGCATCAGCCACAGTCTGTCTACACTGGACGCGACAAAGCGACCATTGAAAATCATTTGAAATTTGTGTCGGCTCGTCATAAATAGAACGCGGTAGCAGTTTACTGTCGGGGATTTGTCGTGTCGCACCGCGCTGCATCCAGTGTAGACAGCATCACTGATTATAATGAGTTCTATACACTGATCTATATACAATGAATCTCTATTATAGATCAGTGGTTCTATAGTATTTTGTCACGCCACGCCACTCGTGTCTGGTGTAGACACGGTGTTAGGAATCGTTATTTGTTTCACTGTAGACATTGCCCAACCCTAATATATATATATATATTATATACACTACCAGTCAAAAGTTTTTGAACAGTAAGATCTTTAATGTTTTTTAAAGAAGTCTCTTCTGCTCACCAAGCCTGCATTTGAGCCAAAATACAGCAAAAGCAGTAATATTGTGAAATGTTTTTACTATTAAAAATAACTGTTTTCTATTTAAATATATATTTTAAAATGTAATTTATTCCTGTGATTTCAAAGCTGAATTTTTAGCATCATTACTCCATTCTTCAGTGTCACATGATCCTTCAGAAATCATTCTAATATGCTGATTTGCTGCTCAAAAAACATTTATTATTATTATTATGTTGAAAACGTAAGAGTAGAAAAATGTTCAGGTTTCTTTGATGTATAGAAAGTTCAGAAGAACAGCGTTTATCTGAAATAGAAATATTTTGTGACATTACAAATGTCTTTATCATCATTCCAGTTTGATTGATATTAGGCTACTTGGAATGCGCAATAAAAAAATTTGATTTCTGAAAAAAAAAAAGAAAAAAAAATTGGAGTTATCTAATATAACTTTTTTCAGAAATCATGTTTTTAAAACAAGCTAATTTGCATGTGGATAAATGTGATCTGCTTGATTCTGTTAGCTTTTCTTTCTGATATCACTGTGCTTGAACAGTTTCCTTCATGCATCATGTGTGTTTTCCCACCTTGTTGCTGTGTTTGGCCTTAAGTACTTTCTACCCCAGAGTTTTCCTTAATATCCCCTCTAGGATCCCAAGATACTTGGAATGCGCAATAAAAAAATGTGATTTCTGAAAAAAAAATTGGAGTTATCTAATATAACTTTTTTCAGAAATCAATTTTTTAAAACAAGCTAATTTGCATGTGGATAAATGTGATCTGCTTGATTCTGTTAGCTTTTCTTTCTGATATCACTGTGCTTGAACAGTTTCCTTCATGCATCATGTGTGTTTTCCCACCTTGTTGCTGTGTTTGGCCTTAAGTACTTTCTACCCCAGAGTTTTCCTTAATATCCCCTCTAGGATCCCAAGAGGGCCCCTGGAAGAGCGAATCTTCTCCACGCAGCCCATCGCTGCTGTCTACAGTGTGAGTTGAATGCTTCATTTACCTTCTTCGCTGACTTTCACATCTAGACACAAACACACTCAGCTTTACCCTGAGATGATCTGAGCCTGCCCCTTTTGCTGCAATCATTTTAAAGAATATAACTGTTTTTTTAAAGTATGTTATAGAAATAAAACCATTCTCGTACATATGATTGCTTTAACTCTACCTTGGGATCAGACCACTCCTCTCTCCCCGCAAATGTAACATTAAAATATTTGACTCCTCTAAACGCAGTGCATTTGAGTCATCAACATGAGGACCACCATGTGTACTGGTGGAAGCTGATTCAGGAAAGCTCCAAAAATGGAATGTGTTATTCATTTCTCTCTTTCAGCTGTTTTTTTTTCTTTTTGGGTTTATTGTCAAAATGTAACATGCAGAGTAGAGTTTCGAGAAGCTAGTAAATGTTTCCACTCATTTTGAAAATGATGATTCACAATCATTACATAAATTATGCATCATCAACTTCCAGAAATTTGGTTTACTTCCACAAATTTGGCTAAAATTGCTTTCTTACTAATTAAGATTTCTGGGATCCAATGATTCCAGTGAATCATAATTCACTTTTACAAGGTGATGCATCCTCGTTGAATATACATTTTTTCTTTAACAAAAATTTGCTGAACTCTAATATTTTAATGGTACTGTATATTCCGCCACTGGAAGTCAATCATAATTAAATAATTTAATTAATTTTGAGAACACGCATGATAAAAAAAAAATTATAATAAAAACCTAATAATAAAAAGTATACTATTTTTACATATAAACATGACTTTATATCTTTTAGATGTCCATGTGTTTCAAATGCTGAAAAATGGAAGTTAAATCAACCCTGTCGCATGATGTAGCATCTTCCAGATTTATTGTAAAAAAATACCACAAAAAGTCAGGCATGGATTTACAAAAATTGGCCAAATTGCAGTTATCTGACATTTTTCTCAGTTATGTAAATTTGAATATATTTCTTAATATTCTGTTCTAGGCCAATCTAGTGTCAAATTACTTTAAAATAATTGACAGAGATGGAGGGCAAGCTAGGTTTTTTATATTGTTGCCCAAGAAAGCAAATATTACCAATTAATAAGAAAATTGCTGGACTGACATGAGGTTGAGCGAGCAGGACTGATGATGTTTGAACAGTACCATATTGAGGGAAGTGGACGGGTGGGGTGCTTTATTTCTGCTGAGCTGGTCTTTCTCCTGTTCCCGCTTCCTGTGTTGGGTCAGAAAGCCCCTCATTCTGGGAGCCATTGGGCTGTGTGTGTGATCTCACCCGCCCCTTCTCAGCACAGCAGCACCCCACCCTGGAAAAGCCCAGGCTGCTGGGTAAGCTGCATAATCTCTGCAAATAAGTGGGTCATTCTCCACCTGCTGATGTCGCCTGGAAAATCCAGCAAGCCAGTCGTGAAATTTCAGGTGTTTAGTTCAGACTGACTGATTGTCACTGAATACATAAGCCGTAGGACTGAGGTGGAGATGTTTATTTTTCTGCAAGCTTCCAGATGAACATGTCTGGCTTGCAGATGGCTGTTCTTTGAGAAACAGTGTGTCATTAATGCAAAATGACAATAGTAAACACTCAATTTCAGTTAAAGGCAGTTCATCATTGAATTCAGTGATGTCAACATCCAGCTCAGTTCAGTTTAAATAGTATCTGTGCAATCAAGTCGACGATATCGCTGGAAATTAAGTGTCCCCAACTAAGCAAGCCAGAGGCGACAGCAGCAAGGAACCAAAACTCCATCGGTGACAGAATGTAGAAAAAACCTTAGGAAAACCAGGCTCAGTCGGGGGGATAGTTCTCTTTTTGCCAGACGAAACCAGCAGTTAAATTCCAAGCTGCAGCAAAATCACATTGAGCAGAGGACTCAACTGGTTCCTGTTGTCTTGCCAAGGTCTTTACTGGGGATCTGTCTCTGGGGCTCATCTAGTTGTCCTGATCTCCAC